GAGTTGGCAGCCTTTATGCAAGCTGTTCCCAAGACGAGGAACCCCATTCTTATACCCTGAAGGCTTTTCTTTAAAAAAACAAAGCTGGTAGCTTAGGCTGACTCTCCGGCTCTTCTCACCTTCATTCGGTCATTCAACAAATATTTATTGACTACTTACTTACTTGGTGGCAGACCTTGTTGTAAAAAGGTGGCCCCCAAAAAACAAAACAAGAAGGTAAAGACATAAGAACTATTCAGATAAGATGAAGTGTGACTGGGGGGAAGGAGAGATTTCAGCCTGGGAGTTGGGAGGGAATCTTAGAGCCAAGACCAAAAGGAGGAGAAAAGGGCTAGGAGTGCAGGTCAGTGGTAGAGCATCTGCCTGGTATGTGTGAGGCTCTGGGTCCTATCTCCAGCACCAAAGAGAGAGACAGAGAGACAGAGAGAAATTCGGTGCAGTGGTATGCCTGTAATCCCACCATGAGGGAGGCTGAGACAGGAGGATTGCAAGTTTGAGTCCCATCTAGACAACTTGGCGAAACCCTGTCTCACAATAAAAACTAAAATGTAAAAAGGGCTGGGGGTGTAGCTCAGTGATAGAGCCCCTCCCTTCAGTCCTCAGTATGGTGAGAGAAAGGAAGTAAGCAAGGAAAGAGCACACCGCTGAGGAACGCTGTTCACTTGCTCCGAAAGATCTGCTTTCTTGGCTCCCAGGAGCCATCCTGGAACTTTGCCTCCTCTATCCAGGCTCCAGCCTCTTCACACAGCCCTACCTGACCCCCCTGCAGACTGCAGGCTCTGTGGGCATCTGTCATCTTCAGTGCTGGGTCCCAGTGTCTAGCACACCACCAGATGGAGAGGTGGTGAAATATTTTTTTTTCCTGTGCTGCGGACAAAATCCAGGGCCTCACCCACGACAGGCAGTCGCTCTACCATTCAGCTGTCTCTCAGCCTCAACTGTTGTGGAATGAGTGAATCAGGAGCCAGGACCCAGCCTGTCATCCCTCCCCGCCCCCGCTCCACCCTTCCCTCCTCTGCTCCATTCTGTGGTCCTTGCACAAGTTCCCATCCTCTGGATGCCAGGTGAGTTTGGCCAATAGGAGTCACTGGTAGAAGACGGAGCTGGAATAAGGTGAGATAGAGACATTAATCCTCTTAGATCCCCTCCTACTAGGTCTCTCCGGTTGCCTGTGTCTCTTGACCAAAGATCCTGTCCACACCACCCCTTCTCCAAGCTCAGCAAATTCTCCTCCTTCCCCTTGCCTGGTAGGGGGAGCTAGTCATGGAAATGGGTGTTTGCTTCAAGGCACTGCAAGAGTCCATGCTGGTTTTCTGCAACTCTATCCCCATGCCCCCAACTGGATGGGGCAGTCCCTGTAGCAAACCTGCCTCAAATTCCCGTTGTTTTGTTTTGTTTTTTTGGGTACCGGGAATCGAACTCAGGACCTTGTGCTTGCCAGGCAGGCGCTTGTGCGGCTGAGCTATATCCCCGGCACTCAAATTCCCGTTTGAATGTGCCAATTCTTGCCCCAGCTGGGGTTCCCACCGTCCTCTCTTGACCCCTGCTTAACCTACTCAGAGCGCCCAATACCTCGGTGCTCAGCTACCCTTCCCGGCTTTCTCCCTTAACGATGTGGGAGAACTCAGCTCTCCCAGGCCCTCAGCGTTCTGCGGGACTCAGTCCTTGCCCTGGACCTCAAGCTGTTCTGAAACCATGGACTCTGCCTGTGTTCCTTGACACTTCCCCTCCTTCACTGCTGGGTGGCCACTTGCCTGGTGTGTGTCCTACTTCTGGGGCCTCTCTCTTCCGCCTGTCTTTCAATGATGGGGGCCTCCGGGCTCAGTCTTGAGTGAGTCTTAGTTTCTACTCTGTAAAGGACAGGCTCCACCCTGTTTCCCGGCTTTGCGTCTCCCTCCCCGCCATGCACTGCACTGCTGTATGCTGGGCCATCTTTGTCTTTTTTTTTTTTTTTTTTTTTGTCCGGTACGGGGAATCGAACTCAGGACCTTGCACTTGCCAGGCAGGCGCTGTGCCGCTGAGCTAAACCCCCAGCCCCAAGGCCAGCTCTGTCTTTACTCTAGGTGCTTCTAGATCTCCCCTCCCAAGGGTCTAGATTCCTCAGTGAACATGCCCCAGGCTTCCCTCTGTGCCTTCCCTGCGCTCTGCTTCTGCCTCAGTGCCCGAACGGGACCCTCATTCTGTATGGCCCGGACCACGCCTACCGTTTCTCTTCACCCCAGCCTGTTTTGTCCCTCTGGTCTGGCTCCTTCACCAACGCCCAAGTAACTTTCCAGACACAGATTTGTCCCAGGCCCTCCCTGACTGGCATTTGCTGGCCATCTTCCTGTCCCACACTTTCCTTCTTTTCTCTCGAAAATGATAAATCACCCGTGCGTGGGAGGCTTCCGTAGGCTGTAGCACATTCTTTCCTTCAGAGTTTAGCTCCAAGACCACCTCCTCCAGACAGCCTCCCATCCCTGTCATCCTCCTCCCAGGTCTTTGGAGCCTGACCACACCCAGCTGGCTGTGTCTCTTTCCGGCTGGTCTCCTCCGCTCTCCTCTAGTGCGGAGGTTAGCGGCGTAGAGTGGGTAGCAGGAAGAGATGAATGAATGAGTGGGTGAAAGCATGAATGAATGAATAGGTGAGTGTGCCATTAATGAATGGGTGAGTCTGTGAATGAAGGAATGAATGAATGAATGGCGAGTGGTAGAACGTGGTCTGGAGGCGGAGAGTTAGAAGAGCAGATCCGAGCCGGAGAGGAATCCCAGAGCTAGCTCTGGAGTTCTCCACTCCCGCCGAAAGAGATGCGCACGCCTAGCCTGTGTGCCGGAAGAAAGCCGCTCTCTGATTGGCTCAGGCTGGGAGAGGCGAGCCTGGGTCGTGATGTGAGTTTCTACTGGCCTAGTCCCCAAAACTCTGCCCAATCAACGCGATCGTTTCCTCCAAGACCCCCGCCTTCCTCCCGCCCACAACCTGGAAGGCGGAAGACAGCGCTTTCTGGTTACCCTAGCAACCGTCCGAGGAGATGGGTTCTCCCGGCAACTGTCCGAGACCTCCCGTCAGCCTTTGCCTGGGCCCCTCCAGTTACCCAGACAACCGCTACCCGTTCTGATCAACCATCAACCCTTCCCCCGTCACCTTGGCAACCATCGCCAGACCCTCCGCCTCCTGGACGCAGTCCTCAGCCAGCCCACAGGCTTCCTCTCCCCAGACCTCCACCCCAGGCTCCAGGCCCCAGCGCTCACGTCCCCCTCCTTGTGGCCCAGGGCGTAGCAGGCCTTGTTCCCACCCTGAGGAGCGGGGCGGGCGGGGGGAGTAGGTCAGTTACTGGGGGGTTCCTGCTCTGGCGACGCTGAGGGACTGCGCTGGGCTGAGAGGGCCCCTTGCTTCTCTCCCCGCTTGCACTCTTGCATGGGACTGTGCGGCCGCCACAGGGAGCTCTTCAAAATGCAAGCCATGTCCCGGCCTTGCTGAAAACCTCCCCTGGTTCTCCTTGAGAATCGAATCCCAATTCCTCGCAGTGCCTGGCAGTGTTAGCAGCCACTGGCCTTCATGTTGTTATTCCAATAGCCTGAGCTACATCCCGCCTTGGACATGCCTCTCAAAGTTTCCCGGGAAAAGAGTACCCCACCACTGCCACCATCAGGGCCCCACCTGTGGATCCTCAGACGAACTTCACCTGAACACTCACTTGCACAGCCTTCTCTCCTCCCCTCTCCTCTGTGAACCCCAGAGCTCCAGAGTGCCCCTGGGGCTCCATTCCTGGGAACCAATGCAATGACTGGCACCCATGGTGAGAGAAAGCAGGTCTTCTGGGGGGACAAGAGAGGGCAACAAAGATGGCCAGGCAGGCCCAACACCAGATAAACTTTCCTGAGAGAGGAGTACTAGGAGCTGAATCTTTTGCTCTTTTTATTTTTTATTTTGAGAAAGGATTTTGTTAAAGTGCCACCAATCTGGGCTGGAACTTGGGAGTCTCCTGCCTCAGCCTCCCAGAGTGCTGAGATTACAGGGGTGTGCCACCACACCTGGTTAACAGAATGTATTTTTCAGGTCTTCTGAGTCTTCAGCCTGCAGGTGCTGACACTGTCCCAAAAGGCTGAGCAAAGGCCAGGGGAGAGACGTCGATGCTGTGACCAGCTTGGGACTGTGTGGTCCACCTTCCACTTGTAAAACCCTTCTCTGCACTTCCAGAAACTTGGGCTAAGTTAAAGCAGAAGATTCTAGGGGCTGGAAGGGCAGGCCTCAAAACCCAGATGGCCATTCAGGGAGCTGGTTGCTTCCTGGGCTGAGTCCAAAATCCCACACTAAAGATCCCGGAGCTGTTTTCCCAGGGCTCAGAGACAGGCCAGTCCAGGCTTCGGTGAGAGAACTTGACCAGACTTTACCTTGGTGTTCATGGGGAGCAGGGCCTGGGAGCCACCTGAGCCTGGCTGCAGAGGAGTCTGTATAGCCACCTGCCTGCCCATGAAGGGCCTGCCTTGCTGAGATGGCATGTCCCTCTTAAACTAGGTACACCTCCTTGACACTGTCTAATGAACTTTGTTTTCGAGACAGGGTTGCACTATGCAGTTCAGGCTGTTCTTGAACTCATTTTGTAGTCCAGGCTTGCCTTGAACATGTAATCCTCCTGCCTCAGCCTCCCAAGTGCTGGGATTACAGGCATGTGCCACCAAGCTTGACTGAAACTTTTTTTTTTTTTTTTGAGACAGGGTCTTGCTATATATTCTAGGTTGGCCTTTATTTTTTTATTTTTTTGGGAGGGGTGGTTTTTTCCAGTACCAGGAACCGAACTCATGACCTTGTGCTTGCCAGGCAGTCGCTGTGCCGCTGAGCTAAATCCCCCACCAGCCCCTAGGCTGGCCTTTAAATGATATAGGCCAGGTTGGCCTTGAATTCCCATCGACCCTCCTGCCCCAGCCTCCTGAGTGCTGGAATGACAGGCGTGTGCCACCACACCCAGCTTAATGGAACTTTCTTCACCGATGTGACAAACAAGCACTTGAAATACAGCAAATGTGACTGCAGCACTGCATTTTTTCATTGGATTTCATTTGGATGAATTCACATTTTAGTGGAAGTAGCCACACGTGGCTAGCCTACTGCACTGGATTCAATAATGAAGAAGACTTAAGACCCAGGCTCAAGAGAAGGTCAGAGTTTATGGTTCGTGCAGCCACAGGAGGCCAACTGCGGCAAGGCAAGGTAAGACACTCGGTCTCAGCATGTGGCTCCCACAGGAGAGGCACACCCAGTTCCTCGGTCAGAGTACTTGCTCACACATGCACGCAGCCATGTCTGGGTGTGAGCACAGGGGCTGTGGCGCCTCACACATTTCTGTGTGACCCAGGCACCCACCCAAGGCATTGCTCAGACAGCAGCTGTGTGCTCCTGAGTGTCTGTGCTTCTATGTGCCGGGCACAGGCAAGTAAGCAAGGGCCACTAGTCCAGCAGGTCTTGCAGGAAGGCCCACATGTACTGGTGCATCTCCCGGGGGTGGCTCTGTGGGATACAGTGTCCTGCATCTGGCACGATGTGGACCTCCAGCCGGCCCGGCACAAAGCGGCTCTCAATGGCCCTCACTATCCCCACCTGGAAGTAGGGGTCTTTCTCTCCCCACAGCAGCAACGTAGGTACAGCCAGCTCCTGGGGCTCCAGGGGGAAGTTCCTGGGATGGAGGCAAACAGTCAGACAGACAGGAAAATGGCGGCCACCGCTGCCCCCTGCCTCTGGAACTCTCCTGAGCTTCCACCCTGGGGCTGACCTCACCTGAAGATGTTTCGGTAGTAGTTGATGGGCCCAGTGAGGCCACCGGGCTGAGAGAAGCCATAAAGGAAGGCCTCGAGTTCACAGGGGGTCAGGTGTGGGATGCCCGTCTTGCGGCCAGTGAGGGAGCTCTTCAGGATCTGAGTGCGCAGCAGGGATCTGGCTGCAGTGTCCAGCCTGCGAGGTCCAACCCGCTACCCGCCACCCCTGGGCCTTTACCCCACTGCACCTGAAAGTCAGACGTGGAGAGTAACCGCTCTGGCAAGCTGGGAAGCTGGAACAGGAGCATGTAGTTCACTCTGAAGAATTGGCCGATGTGGCGAATGGAGTAGTCTGGGAGGGAGAGGAGGGGAAGTGGATGTGTGGCCTGGGTCGGGGGAGGGCGGGACAGACCCTACATCCCCTCCCAGACCCAGTCAAGCACAGGAATGAGTGAAACCACGGCTGTGAGTGAAGACACTGACTCCCCCTCCTGGCTGAGGCCCCAGCACCCCTCCCTGCCAGTGGGGGCACATCCCTCTCCAGGCACTTCCTTGCTTCATTCAACAAACACTTATTGAGCACCTACTGTGTTCCAGGCTCTGATGTTCTAGACCCTGGAGACACAGTGAACACGACAGAAAAACTCTGCCATCAGAGAGCTGGCAGTATAGAGGAGCAGACAGACAGAAAACAACAGAGAGAAGGAAGGGAGGGAGAGAGAGGGAGAGAATGAACACAGCTGTGACTACAGTCACTTCTGGGATTTAAAATCAGGTGAGGGGGGCTAGGGATTTAGCTCAGCGGCACAGCGCCTGCCTGGCAAGCATAAGGTCGTGAGTTCGATTCCTGGTACCAGAAAAAAAACAACAACAACAACAAAAAAAAAAAAACAGGTGAGGGCTGGGCTGTAGTTCAGTGGTAGAACACTTGCCCAGCATGTGCAAGGCCCAGGGTTCCCTCCCCAGCACAGCAAAATCAATCAATCAGTCAATCAAAATGAAATTAAGTCATATACGTTGGAGGTGTGTGCTTAGCATGTGAGGGTCCAATCCCTAACACCAAAAACAAAACGAAACACACACACACACAAACATACACATACAGAAAACTCCTAATCCCAAGACCCCTATGTAGGTTACTGTGTGCAGGCTCCTTGTGAGAGGCTTTTGTTGCAGTTTGTGCACCCCTCACCTAAAAATCTTAAATCTGAAATGCTCTCTAATCTGAAATTTTTTTTCGATTTGTTTGAGACAGGGTTTCACTACGTAGCTCAGCCTGGCCTTGAACTCATTATGTAGCCCAGGCTGGCCTTGAACTCATTATCATCCTCCTGCCTCAGCCTCCCAAGTACTAGGATTACAGACATGTGCCACCAAGCCCAAATTTAAAAATCTAAAATTTTTGAGTGTTGACATAATGCTACAAATGGAAAATTCCTTACCTGACCTCAGATGTTTCAATGTATAAGTACAAACTTTTTTCACACACAAAGTTATTAAACGTATTCTATAAATTACTTTCCCCTTAGTTATTTCACGTTGGACTTAAGTTCCATCACCAAGATATCTCACTATGTGTGTGCAAATATTCCAAATAATATGAAATCTAAAATACTTCTATGGGCCGGGGATATAGCTCCGTGGCACGAGCACCTGCCTGGCAAGTACAAGGTTCTGAGTTCGATTCCTGGTACCAAAAATAAATAAATAAATAAATAAAATAAACTACTTCTAGTCCTAAACAGGTGTGTGTGTGCTGGGGATCTAATCCCAGGTCTTGAGTATGTTCCACAAGTGTCCTATCACTGAGCCACATCCCAGTCCTGGTCCCAGGCATTTTGGATAAGGGATACTGAGCTTGTTCCAGTATGGATTACTTCTTAGAGCACTCTCATTGATTTTATTTATTTATTGCTGTATTGGGGATTGATCCCAGGGAGCATTGACCTACATCCTCAGCAACTTTAAAACTTTTTTAAAATTTTGAGACAAGAGCTTGACAAGTTGCCTAGGCTGGCCTTGAACTTTTGATCCTATCTCAGTCATCCCAGTAGCTGATATTACAAGTGTGTGTCACCACTCACAGCTCTGTCATTGATTTTAGACTGAGGAGTGTCACGGGGAAGGGATCCCCGGGTATATGAACAGAAGGATGGAGAGATATAAACACAGACACATGCCCCACCAGCATGCTGGACACACCTTGGAATACCGATGTGGGGGGAGCACTGACCACTACCATCCGCTCAACAAGAGATGGAAAATAGACAGAGAAGTTCCAGGCGAGGACAGCGCCCCAGTCATGGGCCACAAGGATGCACTTGGAGTAACCTAGGAGACAGACATGCTGGTGTAAGGTACGGGTGAGGCAGGAGTGGGGAAGGGGGGTCCCAACAAGGCATAGGTGTGAGGACATGTGTGTGTACCCCCTGGATGGGGGCTTGTCCCCACCCAGGCCCAGGATGATATCCTGGATGTCAGCCATCAGCAGATCAATGGTGTAGCAGTCCACATCCTTTGGAGCCTCCGAGGGGATATAGCCACGCAGGTTCACAGCCACAACATGGAAGTGGCTCTGGAACTCCCGGAGCTGGTAGCGCCAGGAAAACCTGCCCGGTGGGAGGGAATGCAGGGGGAGGTTGAGTCAGGGCCCCTACGCTGCACCTCCACCCTATGCTCAGCAGGGATCTTTGGTGACACCACCTTCCAGCTCTGGTCTTTCTGGATGGGGGTTTGGAAGAATCTCGGGCAGAGGAAGAGACCAGCTGCACCCCAGATCCAGCACAGCCTCAGCCTCAACACTTTTAGGTCCATCCCTTCTCAGGGCCTACAGAGAAATCCTTAGCATCCTAGAGCAGTCCCTGACCCTTCTAAACCATCTGGACCCTAGATGCTCTGCCCCGCAAGACTACTCAGCCCTCTTCCCATCTCCTGGGCGCCCTCACAGTATGGCTCCACCTCTCCCCAGTCCCCTACTATCCAGGCCCCGGGGCCCCGGACATACCAGTTCTGAGGGAAGCCATGGAGAAACAGCATGAGGGGCCCGTTGCCGCGACCAGCGGAGACAAAGTGCAGGCGTAGGCCTGAGCTCTGCAGGAGTGCAGCATGTAAGGCCTGGGAACCTTTCCTCCCCGGGCTCCAGCTCCCAGGCCTCTGTGCCCACCCGGGTTTCGATTTAACGATCCCGGCTTCGCTCACCCCGCCCCTAACCCTGGAAACTCCCTGCAGCTCACCCTGAGGTTCAGGAAGCCGTGCTCGCCCAGTGTGGGGTCCACCAGACAGGCGGGAGCCGCACACCGGCGGCGCCCGGAGCAGCCCCGCCGGGGCCTGCACAGCACGTGCGTGAGCGCGATGCAGCCGTAGACGGCGGCGGCCACTATCGCCGCCGAGTACACCAAGATCCACATGAAGAAGCGCAGCAGCTTCAGCGAGACGCGCGACGGCGCCAGCAGCGCGGTCACCACCAGCTCGGGCATGTCGCCGCGCTCCGGGACGGCGACAGTGCTGCCAGCCGAAGACCGAGCTGGGTATCCTGGAAGCAGCGGCGAAGAGGGACAGGATCCTGGGAAGCCACTGCCTTTGGCCCAGGACCCCTTCGTGACGTCGGCGCTGGCGGATCGAGCTGCAGGCACGGAGAAAGATGGCTTAGGCTCAAACTGCCACCACTCCATGACTCACAGCGCCAGGTAAACATCTGGGCGCGACGCTACCTGGAAGAGTGCGGGGGCGGAGCCCGGGAGGACCGGGCTTCTGTGGTGGGGGAGGGGCTTTGTGTAAAAAGGGGGCCTGGGTACATGGAGCTGAGAACAGGGACCGGGGCGTAGGAGGACTTCTGCCGCAAGTGGGGAGGGGGTTCTAAAGAAGGAGACGGGGAGCCCGCATAAACCGGGGGGAAGGGGCCCTGGGTGAAATGGGCGGAGAGTCGTGCTAAGGGGCGGGGCCTACACCTTGAGCGTGAGACCTAAGAGCCGGGACGGTGAGCCCGAGTTGGCTCAGGAGCCGGTGAGGATAGAGGCGCGGCTTATGCAGCTGGGAGGGGGAAGTGGGTGGAGCCTAGAGCTGGGGCCTTATCATTGGGCCGCTAAGCACGGAGGCGGGCGCAATGAATTGAGGATTTGCCTGGGATTGGGGCCATGAGGCCGAGGGACGGGGCCAAACTTAATACAGTGGGTTGGATTGGCCCGAAAGCCGAAGAGAGACCAGCAATGCTACGGCTGGGACCGGCAGAGAGGTGCGGTCAGTCACAGCGGCCCGAGGGCGGTTCAGGAGCCCCAGTCACCCCTCGCGCCGACTGCTTCCTGCCCTGGAGCGCGCGACCCTCCCTGGCCTGGCTTCGAGGGACCCAGCAGCACCTTTACCCAGCTCTGACTCCATCGGCGGGTCCAGAGGCCGTGGTCCCACGCAGTTCTCCCCGTGACCCGGAGGGCCCATCCGCCCGCCCTTACATAGCTGTGATTGAACAGCGGCAGCCATCGACGGCCAAGTGACCAGTCCTGGTCCGGGTGCCAACTGGCAGGTGCTGCGATCTGGGCTTGGCGATGGTGGCTCAGGAAGGAAGAGATCCCTATTCCTACAGGGTAGGTCCGGCTTTGATGCTTGCTGGAAGAAGTCTGGGTTAACTGAGTCACTGCATCTGACAAAAAGCAATCAAGGCTGGGCAGGGCAGAACAGAGCTGGATGGGGCACTTGCCTACAACCCCATTCGTGCATGGAGCTGGTTTCTTATATTTTGCAACCTTCTTCCGGGATTCGTGTCCATTGTAGGGCCATCCAGGGTAGGAAGTATTAGTCACACCAAGAACCGGAAATTCGGGGATAAAGTCATGTGTCTGATGTCACACATCTGGCTAAACAGCAATCCAGGACTCATAGAAACAGCAGTCTGGCCCCAGCCCCCTAATCGCTTCTGGTTGATAACCCAGGTATCTTATTTGTGTTCTGTGGCTGTTTCTTGACTAATTCGGAACATTACCCATTGAGTTGCTGACATTACCACTGACACATAACCGTTTCCATTTTTTCTAGTGGTTTCCTCTAACCCTAAGATTCCATTTTCACATCACTCACGGGCCGTTCTTCGTTATTCACATACCTTTGTATTATCTGGGCACTAACCATACTGTCCTGAGTCCATAATTAAACCCATGGAACTGGGCGTGGTGGCGCACATCTGTAATCCCAGCGCTGGGGAGGTGGGGCAGGACCCCTTTGAGTTGGAGGCCAGCCTGGACTACAAAGTTCGGGCCAGTCTAAACTACAGTGAGACTGTCTCAAAACCAACCAAACTATGGGTTGCCAGGTAAAGGTGAATGCCCATCTGTACTGTTGTGTCTCAGTAAACAATGGATCTGAGTTGGATTACTCTGCCTGTATTGAACTACCTTTTGCTCTCCCTAAATTTAACTACTCACCTTTCTATTAGCCTGCATCCTATCTCTGGTTTCCTTTACACTTCCCATTTGACAACTTGCCAGGATCTTTTCCGAGTCTTCTCTTCTGGCTGCAAAGTTGGTGGGTGTCTTCCAACTTCAGATCACACCGCAGCCCTTACCCCACCATATCCTCCCAATTCCACCCGTCAAAAAGAGCAGTACTCACAGGAGGGTAACTTTACGTTCAGTACAAATGTTTATTTTTGCAATGAGAACTGCACAAAAAAAAAAGAACCTTTAGTATATAAGTGAAGTCTATGAACTCCCTTCTACAAATGTCTAAAGTGTTTTAATACAAGTCTCAGATTCACTGACATAATTATTGGCCAAGCAATCCGTGCATACAGTACAGTGGGGGCTTGTACACACCTTTTACTCTTGTACAAGACTAAGATTTCTAGTACTGTAGGAGAGACTGGATAAATGGCCAGAGCAATTAAAGATTCCTGTTCTAATTACAACCCAGTTAGAGAAACACCCATCAAGGAGGTGTGATGGCCATGGCAGACTTCAATCTTTAGCAGAAGATGCAGATGAAACCATCTCTCCAACTCAACACTTGGACCCAACCCACGTAAGTTTTCTGAACAAAATAAGGAACAAAAATGCAGGTGGGAGATGAATCTCCACAAAATCAAAATGTGTCATTTGAACTGGCACAGTGGTGTATGGTATGCCTGGGATCGCTGAGGAAGTAAGTGGTAGGGCACTGAGCTGGACGCCTTACTCCACCCTCAGTGGGTGTGGCAGATCCTAAACACAAGACAATGAAGGGCCTTTCTGGTTGGAAAGGGGGGGGGTGTGTGAATTAATAAACAGTGCTAGAAGTATTTCAATGTTTGTCTCTGCATACACAGAAGTTATACACATTATCTTACATCCCCAGGAGTGTTGTCGGTGCCACTATGTACGTATAGTTAGGACACACAGGCAAAGTTACCTATGGGCTTACTTGGGTGACACTGTGCACGTGTGTGTGTGTGTGTGTGTGTGTGTGAGTGTGAAGATCCTATTTGGGGAAATGCACACTTACCTAAGGATATCTGGTCAACCCTGAGCTTAAATGAAGAGGAGTTAGGTGGAGGCAACCAAGGTGGTAGAAGTGGCCCAAATCCTTTGGAGCATGGAGGACCAAGACGAAGGAGGGCAAAGTGAAATAGGAGTTTGGCCAGTGTTCTGCTGGGACATGTCACCCACCTAGGCCAGGGTCCGAGGCAAAGTGGGCTTCTGGGCTCCCGTCACAGCTTCAGCTTGGGTGGCAGCGGTGAGCCTGAGCAGGCCCTGCCCAGGACAGGCAGGGATAAGCCATGAGAGAGGCTCCATGGCCACTGTCCTTAGTTCTCATGCACAGGTTGTCTCGGGTAGGGCAGCGTGGGCCTAGCCTAGGCAACAGTTGGTTCACAAAGAAATGTCAGGGAGACACCAGCATTAAAAAAGAGAGATGTGTTTATTCCATGATCAGTACAGACCAAATGCATATTCACCGTATGAAAGTCAAACCAGTCAGTGACTCCAGAGTTTGGCCAACACTGAGGCACCAGCGTTGTGGTGTAGAGTGGGTTCTCATGGCACACGTAACCTCACCAAGGGCTCCAATTATAAAATTAAAAAAAAAAAAAAGTGTGGGAAGCAGCAGCCAGCTGGGACTGGGTGCTGGGTGGGGGGAGGGCCTCTGTTTCAGTCTTCAGCACCCCCAATCAATACCTGGGGTCTACCTGTCCCTAGGCATTCCCTTTCTTGGTAAAAAACTTAACAGATTTAACATTAAAAAACAAAAGCCAACAAATGGGCACTGAGGGAAAGGAAAAGAAGTTGTAGCTTTCTGGATTTATAATTAAAAATAGACTAATGAAGTTGCAATGTAAGTATAAGTAGGGATATTTGTTTTGATTTTTTTGTGGATTAAAAAAAAAAATCTCTTTTACACCAGTTTGGTGGAGTCACCAACAAATTTTAAAGTTGCCAACTATGTTCACTATACAGTACAGCCACGGTCACACACTACCCACAGCGCGGTGGGAGCCGCCGCTCCATGAGGAGACGATCACACCTTTTCGGAAATAAGCAGTGCCATTGTGTCTGGAGGAGAAGAGAGAATTAAAAATAAAATAGAATTCAACAACAAAATATATATATCAGAAACACAGGTGAGAAGGGGCTGACTTTGGTTGGTGGCTTCACCCCAGGCAACGTCTGTCCACCTATGCAGGAAGGTCACCTTGATTCAAGTTGCCGTGGACACACACACACCTCCACAGCACTGTTCCCTTTTGCACAAGCGAACACTTATAGAGAGCGGCTCTCGGTTAAAGGTTTGCGGTGGGGAGGGGTCTGCTCAAGGCAAAGTCAGTGCCAGCAAGGGGGTATGCCTGTGCCGTCACCCGCTCCAGCCCACGTGGGCCTGTCCTGGCCTCCTGAGACTGGGAAGTGAGGCTAGGTGTGGAGACTCCCAGTGGGAAGGATGTCACAATCATCACGTTCTCAGAGACGGAAACCCAGTCATGGTGATGGCAGCAACAATGTCCTGTGTATACTGTGTGGACACTTGGGGGAGAATAGGGCCTCTGTCCCACACATGGGGACACAGGCACTTGCTGGAATGGATGTGTACTCTGAGCCGATGTCCTGTAAGGAGGCAGCGGGTGGCAGGACGTCTGTCCAGCTGGCTGTAAGGTACATGGGCTCTTCGATCCTCAGCTGCCCATCAGGCCTGCCCCGGGAATAGCATGCAGGAGGGCCAGGCCCAGAGACACCTCTGGCCACTGCTACTGCCTCCATTGCCACCCCTAAACTCTATGGAGAGCCAATGTTTTGCCAGAAAAATCAATCAGAAGTCACCTAGGTGCTCTCAGAAAAGAATTTTTTTTCAAATATTGACAACAGATCAGTCTGGAAATTCATGTCAATCTTAGCTGCCATCGCCTCCCAGTGCCTTTGCTCCTGTTCCCGCTTCTGGGCCAACTCCCTCTGTTGCTCCAGCATAGACTGGGGCTGGGACCTCCTGGTCTGGGGGTGGGCGATGGGGGGGTTGCTGCTGCTGCTGCTGCTGTTGCCTGTGTTTTTACATTAGCTAATTTATAAAAACAATTTCTTAAACTATGACACATTTAATTGTAAATTAATGTTTATAATTGCATAGTTTCAAGCACAACCTACGTAATGTAGATTTAAAGAATATATAATCAGGCAAATATATAAAATTTAAACAATTACCAGGATCCATAGCTCAGCTTGTGATGTCTGCCATACCATTTGTAGGCTTGCTGCTGGGTTGTAAACTGATGATCTCAGAATGGCAGACTAAGGACCTTGAAATTTCTTTTCTCCATGAAAGGAATTAGAGCACTATGAAAAGGTCAGTATAATACTATTAAAACTGTGGAAATTAATGAAAAATTTATAATAATCCAGGGGGCATTTATTCACAAGATTGTTGAAATTCATTAAGAATACTGTACCTTGCAGCATTTTAACTTGTTTCATATGCATTCCCCTCTCTTGGAACATGGTAGGCTTGAAATACTGACAGTCTCAATATCTCAACAAAAACCAGCAGCTTAGTAACTATTAGAGAGGGGCAAAGGGTTTTATATCTCCTCAAAGTTCCATATTCAGACAACTGTCATGATTTGGCCTGTCTAATAGTTCCCTGGAAATTACATCCACAAATCTTAGCTTTATGTGACTTGGATCTGAGGTAACCCAGTATAAAATGCCTTTTTCTTAGGAGTATTTGTCATAAAAAAAATCAGTGGGAATTGCTTAATACAGTAGTTGCTTGGGGTGGTGGCAACATTTGGGACAAACAATCTGTGCAAAACCTTGAAAGACAAAGCTGCAGAAGGAGATATTAAGGAGTCTTTGAAATGTATCAACATATTGCTGGAAATTTAGAAGGCCATTCACATTTGTACAGCTATGAGTAAGCCTAGGAATGACCTGATAAGGCCCTCAATTCTCACTTCTGGTGAGACTTAGAGGCTCTACATGAATAGGAAGTAAAACCTAACCCAGAATTCCAATTGCCAAAGCATTCCCCAACATTCACACAGTGGCCCTTGACAAAGACTGAATAGCTTATTGATTCTAAACACTTAAGAAAATAATCCTACAGAAACTCCTCAAACACTAAATTAACTGAGCACACATTTCAGTTGCTACATAAAACTAAAAGTATAGACCTATTGAATTAGGTCAGAAAAGTCACTAAGCAAACAAACAACAGCTAGCAAGAACAAAACAAAAAAATCCCTATGGAAATTGACATATTATGTTATTTCCAGAGTTGTCATATTTTATTATTTAGACTATCTAGTTTTCAATGAAAAAGTAAGGCATGAAAAGAAAGAAAAAAGCCAAATATGACAGTACATAGGTTTAATAAGCAGCAAAGAGAAGCTATTAGACAAGATTTATAAATAAGCCGTTTAAAATATATTCAAGAAACTAAAGGAAACTATGTCTAAAGAACTGAAAGGAGGTATAAAAATAAAGTTTCATTATGGAATATCAGGGCCAGAGATATAGCTCAGAAGCACAGCACCTGCCTGGCAAGCACAAGGTCCTGAGTTCAATTCCCAGTACCAAAAAAAGGACTAATAATAACAATAATAATAATAATAACAATAGATATCAATAAAGAGAGAAAAATTATACAGAGGAGCCAAATACAAATTGTAGAGTTTAAATTTCAACTGAAATTTTTAAAAAGTAAAAAGGGGCTCAAAGTAGATTTAGAAAGACAGAAGAAAGAATCAGTGAATGTGAATATAGTATGATTGGGATTATCCTGTGTGAAGATCAAAAAGAACAAAGAATGAAGAAAAATGAACACAGCCTCAGGCAAATATGGGACCTCACCAAGTCTACTAATATGTTGCAGATGACATGATACTGTACATAGAAGATCTCAAAAGCTCCACCAAAAGACTTCTAGATTTAGTAACCAACTTCAGTAGTTTAGCTGTATGCAAAGTCAACACTCATAAATCAATAGCATTCCTGTACGCAAATAACACACGCACTAAGAGAGAAATTAGGGAAACAACATCCTATGCAATAGTATCCAAAAATGAGAGAGAAGTACTTAGGAATCAATCTAACAAAAGAAGTAAAAGATCTCTACAATGAAAACTACATTACTCTGAAAAAAGACATTGAAGATGATATCAGAAAATGGAGAGATATCCTTTCCTTTTGAGTAGGATGCACCAACATAGTGAAAATGGCCATATTCCCAAAATTGCTATACAGATTTAATACAGTACCAAACAAAATACCATTAGCATACCTCACAGAAGTAGACAAAGCATTTCTAAAATTCATTTGGAACCAAAAGAGACCTAGAATAGCAAAACCAATTCTGGGCAACAAACACAAGTCAGAGGACATCACAACCCCGACTTGAAATTATCCTATAGAGCTACTATGATAAAATCAGCATGGTACTGCAAAAAAACCAGACCTGACGCTCAATGGAACAAAAGAGAAGATAAAAAAAACAACTCCAAACACTCTTAGCCACCTGATCTTTGACAAAGGGGCCAAACATGCTCACTGCAAGGATAGCCTCTTTAATAAGTGATTCTGCAAAAACTGGCTTTCCACATGCCAAAGATTAAAACTAGACCCACGTCTATCACCATGCACTAAATTAAAATGGAAATAGATCAAAGATCTAAATATTAAAATGGGAACAGCAAATCTACTGGAAGATAGAATATGTAAGACTCTGGAAGACATAGCTGTAGACAAAGACCTTAGTAACAAAACCCCAGTAGCACAGCAATTATCACAAAGAATCAACAACTGGAATTTCATCTTATTAAAAAGCTTTTGTGGGGTTGGGGATTTAGCTCAGCGGCAAAAGCGCCTGCCTGGCAAGTGCAAGGTCGTGAGTTCGGTTCCCGGTACCAGAGAAAAACAAAAAAAAAAAAAAA